AAAGTAGTCAGATTTATTGCTGGAAATGGATGTGTAAATTAATCTAGATCCAGAACTTGAAGTGTTTTGCAGGTTTCACTTATTGAAAGAAATTTGCTAGGTTTCAATTGGGGAAAAAAAAAAAAACCAATTTAGTCAATTCTGATCAATAAAATCAGGATTTAGGTCACTCTTGTTGAAAATGCTTGATGTATTCAAACAAATTTAATAAATTGTTTTAAAGCAGATAAGAGGGCAGCAAAATCAGCTTTTCAGTAGAAGTCACTGGATAGATGTGGAAAAAGCTACGAGTCTGGTTATTTAAAGACAAGTAAATAGTAATAGCCTTTATTGTCCCGCAGAGGGGAAATTCAGGTGTCACAGCAGCATCAGTACAGAGGTTCACACACTAGTTACTTTACAAACTATAGATGGTACACACAAAACAAAAATTAACACTGATTAGTCATGATACGACTACTACTAATAAAAAAATATAATATAAAGAATTGTGCAAGGATAGAAAAAGATATGTTTTGTTTTAGAGACAGTAGACAATCAGATACAWACCTTGGTAAAGAAGGGAGTGATGAAAACAAAGAAGACGTCGTACACGAGGAGGAGGCTGAGTAGAATCACACAGATCTGTTGGATATCAGACAGAAATGTAACTAAAACAAAAACAAAAACACCTGAAAAACAAATAATCCAACAAACCACAGAAACACAAACTGTAGTTTTCCTCTTTAATTCACCCACATGCCAAATTAATAAAATGTCCAAAAATAAAAACTGTGTTGCACAACAGCGCTACAATTTGTTAGGACTGAAAAAATACAACTGAGCATAATTTCTGTTATTTAGGGACAAAACAACAAAAAGAACTCAGCATTTTTTTCATCCTTTTCTGAGTCTTTTACATTAAAAAAATGAGATTTTCTGAGTTGAAAGAAACACCTGAAACTTAAACAAACTCAAGCAAGTGATGGTTTTCTGAAGATGGATTAACTTTTTAGCTTTTCATCAAACAAAAACGTGAACTGTCACATCTACAGAGAAACATCCTATGATTGAACATGTCCTCAACATTTAGACCAGGGAGGTCCAAACATTTTGTCACATGGGCCAAAACCATAAAGTCAGAAGGACTTGAGGGCCAAAAATATTTTTCCTTTACCTGCTCAATAATAAACT